TCAAATTCTATTCATAATGCCTTCCAAATATGCAGTCATACTGAGAAATGTTCGGGCTTCCAGCAAAGAAAATGTAGTGAGGCCAAAAGAAAAAGAAAAAGATTATAGCCAAGGTCATTGTGGTGACATAAAAATGCCAATGACATATTCCGCAAATTGGATTAGTTTAGAAGTCCCTCAAAAAATTAGTTACCATACCTTTCTCCCCATGTCTATGGCTATGGTTCTTTTCTAAGCAATTAATAGATATAGATTCATCTATATATCTTTCACGAGCCCCTCTTCACTACTAAAAAAAAATTCTGACATCTTTCACATCTATTTTTAAGGAAGCCATTCCAACAGATCTGAATTGTTCACTTTGCCATGGTGAAGATTTCACTAAAAGATGACTCAGTATGCTTCAGATAGGAATTGACAAGCAACCCTTTCCCACTAAAGCCATTGCCCCCACATTATGACAATATTAGGTTAAGTCATGACTTTTTGGAAAATAGAAGGAACAATGGATAACCTTAGTTCCAGCTTTCAATAAATGTATAAGATAAAAAGATTCTAAGACTTAACACACCACTGAAATTATAACAAGAGAAACATAAGAAGAGAACAGCTGAAGTTTACTTGATGCAGGCATGGACAACGGACAAAAAAGAATGCCGAACAATCATGTGCTTCAAATCTTGTTGAAGCTCTTCAACTATATGGTGAGACAACTTCCGCATTAATGACACAACAGCATCAATTACAAAAATAATACTCTCCAGTAACTGTGCAACTGATCGGTTATCAACCTGAAAACAAGCCAAAGTAATCATTACACCCTCCAACACTTAGAATAGAGAAATTGTTACTTGTGAGTGAAAACTAATGAAAACTGGCCCAAGGGACAGAATAAATCTATAGTCAGCTCAAGAAACAGAAACTTCATCTTTTCACTTGAACAACTTTTTTAATTTTAAGCAAAACAACCCACATGCTTTAATTGCCTAAACTTTGAACAAGTGCATCAACTTAAATCATACAATAAATTACCAGAATTAGCTATTTTATAAAAATATATGTTTCAATGGAAAATGACAAAGCCAAGTTAGAAAGCAGGACTTTCTCGAATGGGACCATCACAAGTTGGAGATTTCTTTAGTATTCCAAGTTTTTTCCCTTGTTTTTTGGCCATGAGAAAACTATGCTGCGAAAAGCACCACTAAATTTGTAGAAAACACAAACCCAGAGATCTCTGCCTCTGAAAGTGGTCTGGTCAATAACTTTCTTAACAATTGAACTGTATACTTCTTATAATTGCAAATAAAAGAAATTAAATGTAGAAAATAGAGAGATGAAATTGAAACTTTTACAAAATCCAACAGAAGAATCAAGTAGGTTCAGATTCATAGATAATCAACTTCTATCATATGATATGAAATTGAACATTATTCTTGAATCCACAAACAATAACTAGGTTTCTTTCATTTAGAATATAGTTTGACAGAAGCAGATGTTCAAATGAACTAAATCCAGGCCTTACTAAAAATACGAAATGAGCCACTCCATCATATAGTTAAAGAAGCCAGCAAATACTAACAAGATGGCATTGGTAACAGTTTAAAGTAAATAATAACGATAATAATAATAATAAAAAATATATATATATATAAAATAAAAATAAAAAAAAGGGTATGAAATAAACTGTAGATAACCTGACTCTTAAGATATGGCTGCAGTGTGATAACAAATTGGGATGGATCAGAAGCCGGCATGCAAAGTGAGGGGTCCACGATGCAGAATGCATGCAAGGCAAGCACATACGGAAGTGTAGGAACCTCTGCATCTACATTATTCATTTCCTCTACCTAACCAACAATAATATTGCTTAACATGATAATCATAATGAGACAATCTGAATTCTAAGAAAATGTCATGCATTAATAGAATACCTGCAATATTCTTTCAAGTAAGCACTTGCACATTGACTCACAACGCCTACGTACTGCAGCAAGTAAAACAGGATTGATTCCAGATGCTTTAGTTGATTGTGGAAAAAACTCGAGAGCCAAATTGCGCTTAATAACAATGACAAGAAGTTGATGATTGGCTATCCTCCTCAACATTTCAACAATCTGCTCAGTCTTTTTGGCCACCTCTAATGGAACAAAACTACCATGTCCAGAAAACTGCGTTTGGGATCCTGAAGGTTCTTCAAACCAAAACTCATAGAATGTCTTGCAGACAAGGTCCTGGGGTAAGCAAGAATTAAAAATAAGGACAAGTGCCAAAAGAGCATGCATTTTCTGTACAATTAAATACATAAAAATAAACATGAGTGGAAACTCTGAAAGTTCTAACATTGAAAGCAAAGAGAATAATACCAGAATTTTCTCTTAAGCATGCATTTAGGTCACAAGAGCAAGTAGTAAGTTAAGGTAAGGTATAATTCCAAGTACAAGAATAAGAACTACACATAAGTTTACTCAAACAGGGCCTAATATAAGATTAGGTTTTGTTTTATTTAAACACTGCCTAATAACTTTTTTGGACTTAGAAGACAATTCAATTATGTTTTCAATGGTACATAAAACAAAACATCTCTCTTGACCTCAATTACTTCAATGAAGAAGGACAAATGTGTCTAACACAGAAAAGACATTAGAAGCAAGCACAGATTCTTTACAAAAGTGCAAATTTTATGGTTCTATATTTTACCTGAATGCTAGATTCATCATCGCTAACACGAGAAATGATCTCAATGCATGCAGTTGTAAATCCAGAGAAATTGGCATTTGACGTGCACATATCTCGAACAATTCTGATAGCTCGTTTCCTAACACTAACTCCAGTATCCTTAATCCTCTCAGCCACCTTCTCAAAATACTAACCACCACAAAATTTTTAGGAAAAGTGAGAATTAGACTACAGATATTTATGCATACCCAACTGCAATTACAATGATAAGTGAAGTTCCATTTGACATACCTTAATACCAACATCAGGATGAGAAGCAATATGCCTACCAACAAGCTCCAATGCTGCTTCTCTAACAGATATTGCTGAGTCGCAAAACCGTCCTTCAACAGCCAATTGAACACGTTTGTCACCCAATACCTCCGGATCAGCTTCTACAATAATACTAACCTGTTCCAGTAATACAAATTTAGTTGAGAAAAGCTCCCCATAAATAATGTCCTGACAATGCTTAGAAGTACAACTACTGAAAGGACAAAGCTTTAAGTTTCCACTTACTGCTCGTAAAGCCTTCGCCCTAATCACAGGAGAGTTCTCTCTCAAACTAGCCTGGAACCAGAATATGCTGTAAGAAATATTGTTAACTTGCCAACAAATTAAGGACATTCAAAATATTCAACTTACCAGAAGCATATTAAGAATCTTATCAAATCCTCTTGCAAAGGAATTGTTTTGTCCCAATGCTAAAGTAATCTTCTTAACAGAATCTCTTGTCAATAATGAAGAAACCATCCCAGAGTTGCGCACTATTGCCTTCGACTTCAGTCTAGCAAGGTAGTATTTAAACTTCTGTTGTGATTTGGGATCATCTTTTAACCATAGGGAAAGATAAAACCTGTCAACAAATGCAACAAATGACACAGCCTCAACATCAATGTAACTGCAAAATCAATAAATGAAGAGCTTTGTTGAGCACAAACCAGCGAACAAAGAGATGGACATCATCAGCAGAACCAGCATCCTGAAGATAATTCAAGAGCATCTGTTGACTGATCTCAACTTTTGTAAAAGAATCAGATACCTCAGAATCATTCTCCAACCCACTGTAATTCTCGCCCTCTTTATCCTTGTACTGTGACTCGCAATACGACTGTAATACAAGAAGCTGCTTCCTACAATGGCAAAACTGACAGTACCAGGCACGACTAGGATTTTCATGTTCTCTTACCCCAATGCAATCAGCATGAAACAATCTTTGACAACCTTGACATCTAAATGCTGCTTTTTCAACTCTTTTATCAAAACAAATAGAACATGCATCCTTCTGGAAACCTTGATTATCACTATCTCCACTGAGCACTTCCTGTGTAATCCAGAACTTGTCCCTCCTACAGAGGACAGCATCATGCTTCAACCTTGCAGCTATTGTGCCAAGAAGGTCAATGGCCATTGAGCGTGCAGAGATGTCTTTAGATTTCAGACCTGCATTTTGGAGAAGCAGCACGCAAAGAACCTGCAAGTGACAATACCTCTTCCATCTTCATTTAAAATTTTAAATATTATCAAAAATGTGAATCAATCTACCTCACCTCCAAAATTGGTGCTGAACCAGGATATTCTGGTAAATTTAATGTTGTCAGCAAATCACTGACAAGATTCTCTATCATTGCTTTCAGCTCCGAGACATCTTGAGCCTTCACTGACGTAAAGCGCTGAAGAACACGAGTCCAAAAATGACAGCAGGTGTCTGTGATAGCTTCATGGGATTTGATTGCATAACTAGCATCAACAGAGACTTCCAAGATTGGGTTTCCATTTGCCTCTTGCCTTAATGCTTCAGGAAGATTTGGGCTATAATGAACCACCTGAATCAGCAAAGCAGTGACCAGTTGAATCTGCCTCTGTTCTTCATCAGGCAAGTGATATGCTCTCAAGGCTCTCTTTGAAGATGATAACTTCAAGAATAGCTGAACAATTTCATCCATCACATATGTTCGATGCTGTGTATATGAATAGAATATCTGTATCACCATGAGCAAAGGCACTGACCTTAGACAACTAAATGTAAGCAATGCATACAAGCATGCATGTATATTTATTATTTACTGCCAAGATAATATTGATTCATACCCCACTAATTAAACCCATGGCTTTGAGTTGCAAGATCTGAATATTATCCACCAAAATTGTAGTAAAGCTTGTCCTCAACAATTGTAGAATGCTACTATCAGATAACCGCTCTATTAGCAATAAATCCTTGACAAAACCAAGAATGGTGCAGAGCTTCTGTAGTATAGAATTCATAGCACCAGAAACCCTATAAAGGAAAATTTTTAAATAAGAAAACACATCACTTCTGATATACTAAACTATTTGCTGAGTTAAAATCAGAGGAACAGCATATAGATAAGCACACTTGTTTAATGTTCTCTTCACTTTAACACTCTTGATATTCTTTCGTTTCTTGCTGGCTGAACCCAATTCAGCATCAAGTTCTTCATCTTCATCCCCTGGAAAAATATGATGTTAAAATAAGCAGCTCAGTGCCATAAAATATAGGTATATCCAAACCTAATTTGACAAGAGATTGATAAGGTAAGGCATGTGTAATTTCAACATGAGACAAAAATGAAATTTTAAGGCACAAAATGCAGACGGTTGAAAAACCATATGAAGCATCTGAAACATTAAGATGCAAAAAAAGATATCTAGCTTTCATTAACTTGTCAGATGGCCAACCTTCAACTGCGCCATTTTCACTTGGTTTATGCATAGCGCGATACGTTGGATCATAAGCTGACATGACGTCCATTATTTGATGCCTGGAGAACTCCAAAATTCTTTCAATAATCTGATGATAATGCACAAACAGAGTATATAAATACATTAAAAATGATAAGAGCTAAAGACCAAAAGAAACACCAACATAGAAAAGAATCCCCAGCTAAATTTGCATGTAAAGTTACTTTACATGCAAATTTGGCTGACATGTCAGGTCTTATCAGAGAGGTAGAGAGAACAGCGCACCTCTTCCTTATAAAGTTGCTTTGGCATGTAATTGTTTGCCATAACTGCTAGAGAAGCATGAATGGACTCCAAGGCACAAAAAACTAATGAAAACACATCTGAATCTGACTGTAAAAAAAGAAGAAGAAGAAGGAAGCAAATATCAATACAACATCTAAACCACAATAAGGCTTCATTTTCCTTGCTTTTTTTATCTTTTACTATCCCAAAAATATTTAAAATATTATTAAAATTTGTAAAAGTATATAAAGGCTGTTGTATGAAAAAGGTATGTGCAAAGTATTGTCAAACAAATCCTAGGTAAAATGTACGGAACTAAAAATACTGGGAAAAAAGGATTTGTCCTATCAAATTTGATTGCTTGACAAACAGAAATGCCAATTAAGAACCAGAACAGACAGATTTTGCTAAAATGTCCAAATCATGAGAAAAAACAAAGATGACTGAAATTTTGGAATTAACACTTATCCTCACTAGGACTTGAATAACCAGACAACCTAGCATGCAAAGGCTAAATAAAAATGAAAAACTATACACCCTACAGTAGCACAGAATACAACAAATAATCATAACTTACATGCTCAGACTCTTCAATGGACAAACCCTCAGCTCGGTGTATCTGATGATCTAAAACTCGCAATAATCTCACTAGAATATCTACAGGAACCAAATGCAGAAGTTTCTTTGAACGTATTGATATAATTTCATTTACAAGCATTCTAACGTCACTAACAGGTAATGACACCCATTCAACTTCATTCTGATCATCACTTGGAATTTCAGCTCTGCTGCAAAAATCTTCCAACATCTCGCAAAACTTTCCAACAACGGCATCTGAAAATAAGATTCAGATGAATTGTCTACATCAGACGGAGAGAGATAGAGGGGATGAAGATAGCAAGAAGCAGGTAAAAAAAAAAAAACAAAACAAAACAAAAGAATGACAACCTTGAAGCTCAGAGGGATCCGGTTGAAGTTGAACTGATGATGGCGTGTCAGTATGACCTTTCTTCTTGATTTTTGACTTTTTAGATGATAATGTTGACACATCCTGCAATTTCATCTTGTATATTAAGCAAGCATAGACAACATAATCACCAATGGCTAAACTGGAAACATACATACATTAGCAATAACATGATGAATCTGCTGATTATAGGAGACACCAATTTCTCCATTCAGCTGATTGATAACAGGTGGGCTTTGAATCTGCTGATTGTAGGAGAAACCAAAATCTCTATTCAACTGATTGATAACAGGTGGACTTGGCTCGGATGATTTGCTTTCAAATACTGCAGTACCAGAGCCTTGCTCCTTGACAAGACCTGAGAGACTTGAAGAGAAGCAGGAAATAATAGGTATGACCATATAAAATCCATATCTATATTTTAAAAAAAAATACCAGAGCACCAACACAGAAAGATAGAGAATACTTCAGATGGAGATTAGATATAAGGATCATATGAGACACAACTCACTTTTTAAATAATCTATCTGGCAACATATAACATACACCAAGTATATAGAAACAAAATTCAAAAACAGAAAGCAATAGTGAGAGAGTGGATGCTTTTCAACTTAGAAGTAAGTGCATGGTAAGAGAATTTGCCACCTGACATTGATATAATCTAGAAAAAATTACAATTTCTTCTCACCTGGAAGCTGTGTGAAGATAAGAGTCATATTCTTGCTCTGTTGGGTTCATTATTTACAGTAATTGATTACATCCAGATCTAAACCTCCAATTACCTAACCCTATTTTGGTTATTCCTAATTACAGCCTCAAACACTAACCATTTTTTCCTTTGCAGTCATATATCAACCATCCAAAACAAACTGCATCCAACAATATATTTCAATAGGATATGAAAAATCTAATGTTTCTTTATTGCAAGCACATTTATCAGAAGGGACTATTAATAAACCATCCAGTTAGTGATCCAAATTATCCATACTTCTTAATGCCATCCAGCTATCCAAAGCCAATTGTTTTGTTTGTATCCTCTTCAGTCTCCCTTGATAATAAATGATACATCCAAGATGACTGTAAAAATTGTTAAAGATGCCAAATATCCCTCATTTGTCCAGCTAAACAATATTTCCAGGATAAAAATCCACCAAACCATCTTCCATAATGTTCCCAGCTAAGCCATCAATGATTTAGTACATAAAGGACGAGGCTTGAATATTTTCCATGGCTGAATTATAGCACATGCTTTACTTAACTACATCTATTTCCAAAGCAATCCTATTCCAGCAGAAAAATCATCTGACAGGAAAACAAATGACATTTATCAACCATCAACAAGGTGCATAGTTCTAATCTAGAAAATATTAAACTTTCTTCTTACCTAGAACCTAGTAGTGTGAAGATAAAAGCCATACTCTTGCTCTGTTGGATTTGTTCTTAAGTAATTGATTACATCCAAATTTCCAAATCTGAATCTCCATTTTCCTAACCCTAATTTTTGTTATTGTTAATTGTGGCCACGCACAAACCATTTTTCCCTCTGTAATCCTACAGCAACTATCCAGGGAAGAACTACATCGAATAATCATATTCCAATAGGATATGATAAATCTAATGTTTCTTTATTGCAAGCACATTTATCACAGGTGACTTTTAATAAGCCATAGAGTTACTGCTCCATACAATCCATACTTCTTGATGTCATCCAGCCTCCTAAAGCCAATTCTTTTGGTTGCATCCTCTTCAATTTGTCTTCAAATATATAATATCTCCAAGATGGAAGTAAAAATTTCTTAATGATGCTAATCATTACCACATTTGTATAGCTAAAAAATATTGTCAAGACAAAAAAACCACCAAATCATCTCCCATAACATTTCCAAACTAAGTCATTCATGATGTAGGACACAAAGGATGAAGCTCAACTAATTTCGACTCTTGTAGCCAAATTATAGCCCAAGACTTACCTAACTACATCTATATCTAAAGTAATCAAGCAGTAAAATTATCTCTAAAAAAAAGGTAAATGACAATCTCAACCATTAAGAAGGAACATAGAGAATATTACACTTGAATCCCTGAAATTGATCTAATCTAAAAAGTATTACGCTTTCTTCCTACCTGGAACCTACTAGCATGAAGATAGAAGCAATATACTTGCTCAGTTGGTTTGCTATCTTAAGTAATTGATTACATCAAAATCTGAATACCAATTCTTTTGGTTGTATCCTCTTCAATCTCCCTAGATAATATATGATATCTCCAAGATGGCAGTAAAAATTGCTTGATGCTAATTATTCCCTCATTTTTACAGCTAAAGAATACTGCCAGAACAAAAATTGACAATAACATTTCCAAACTAAGTCATTCATGATGTAGGACATCAGTGGCCGAATTATAAACCAGGAGTTAACTACATCTATTTCTAAAGTAATCAAGCAGTGAAATTATCTTTGACAAGATCGTAAATGACAGTCATCAACCATTACATGAGTATATAGACAATTTTCCACCTGAATCCCCGAAATTGATCTAATCCAGAAAATATTATACTTTCTTCCTACCTGGAACCTACTAGTGTGAAGTTTAAAGCAATATTCTTGCTCCGTTGGGTTTGCTATCTTAAGTAATTCATTACATCCAGATCTGAATCCCAATTCTTTTGATTGTATCCTCTTCAATCTCCCTTGATAACATATGATATCTCCAAGATGACAGTAACAATTGCTTAATGATGCTAATTATTCACTCATTTATACAGCAAAATAATACTGCCAGGACAAAAATCCACCAAATCATTTTTCCATAACATTTCCAAACTTAGTCATTCATGACATAGGACATCAGTGGCTAAATTAGGCTCCAGGACTTACCTACATCTATTTCTAAAGTAATCAAGCAGCAAAATCATCTCTGACAAGATGGTAAATGACAATCATCAACATTAAGAAAGTATATAGAGAATTTTCCACCTAAATCCCTGAAATTGATCTAATCTAGAAAGTATTTCACTTTCTTCCTACCTGGAACCTACTAGCGTGAGGTTAAAAGCAATATTCTTGCTCTGTTGGTTTGCTATCTTAAGTAATTGAATAAATACAAATCTGAATCCTAATTCTTTTGGTGTTATCCTCTTCAATCTCCCTAGAAAATACATGATATCTCCAAGGTGGCAGTAAAAAAAGCTTAATGATGCCAATTATTCACTTTGCAATCCAACATCAACCATCCAAGAACAAACTGCATCCAACAACTATATTCCAACAGGATATGATAATGTTTCTTTATTGCAAGCACATTTGTCACAAGTGACTGTTAACAAGCTATCCAGTTACTGCTCCAAACCATCCATACTCCTTGACACCTTCCCGCCATCTGAAACCGATTCTTTTGGTTACATCCTCTTCAATCTCCTTTGATAATAAATGATAAATCCAAGATGACAGTAAAAATTGCTAAATGATACTAATTATTCCCTAATTGTACAGCTACACAATATTAACGAGACAAAAATCCACTAAATCATTTTCCATAATGTTTCCAACTAAGTCATCCATGATGTAGGACATAAAGGAAGAGGCTTCTACTTTCCCATGGCTAAATTATATCCCAGGATTTACTTAACCACATTTTTATTTGGAGTAAAAAAAAGCAACTAAGAGTACTTCTTTTACCAGGAGTAACATACTCAAATGCTGTAGGGAACAACTGGAGGATTTGTGCATGGAGTTTTAAAGGCTCTATGGAGTCATATGGAACAGGCCTTGCCTCGTCTCTAATATTCCTGCAGAAATGTCAGTTCCAATATGAAATGTTAAACTTAAAGATCATGGTCTTTAAATGATAACAAAGAAAATCAAACCACCTAGACATATGGAAGTAAAAGCAGCAGGCTGGCACTTCATTAGCCAGTTTAGGTTTAATTTATCTAGTACTGCACAAAAAATAAAACATAAAGCAAAATTTTGGCAGTAAGAAAATCCTAATAAAAGAATGTCGAAATGAATTTTTTTAAAGTTAATCCACAAATTACAATTAATCATATGTGATGGATGCATTCAGATATGATGAGTTTAAATGCAAAACTGACTTGGACAAGAACTTTTCACAGTAAAAAAAAAAAATAGTAACAACAAAAAGGTGCTTCATATCCTTAATTCATCACTTAAGTAAAAGAATTACAGCTTATCAACTCAGAAGAGATTACAACAGAGTTGAAGCTCAACACAGCTTTATCAAATTAGTGATTTATACGAGTTCCAAAAGCAAGCTACTCAAGCACAGCGCTAAATTTCAAATTATAGTCCAGAAAGAAATTCAAAAACGATTATTCAAGCACAACTACAAAGTTTGAATAACTGTTTCACCGACTTCCTACAACCAACGCACAAACTAAATTCAGAGTTTCAAATTATAAAACTTCAAATCGCAGCTTCACTCAATTTCACTAACTTCATAACACTAAGCTTCCAAACGAGATCCAAACTAATCCAAGGCAAAAAGTTGCAGAAAGACAAATGAAATATCCACTTACAGATACGAAACGTCCGTTTGGCTAAGCAGCTCAGCGATTGTCCTATACTGAGAGAGAATTTCGCTGCGGTTCAAATACCTCGTCCTCGAGCTACTGACACTGCTACCACCAGGTTCATCCTGAAACTGGAGCTCTGGATCCGATGCGCCAAAGGAAAGAGGAAGCGAATGTAGCGGCACCGTCGGAGCGACCTCCGAGTGTATTGTGTTCGCTAGCCCGATGCCAAGACCGCCCGGGCCCGCTCCCGAAGTGCTCGGATAACTCATCGATTGATTAACCGGCGAGAGAGCGGCCTAGACGGAGAAAGCATGAAGAGAAAGGAGCGAAACGAAGTTCAATTAGCACAATAATGCGAAATTTTGGACGGAATTTGAGGAGTTTCTTGGTACAGAGGGAACAGACGTGTAAACCCTAGAGAGAGAGATTCGGGGAAGAAAAGAGAAGGAAACAAATGGCGGGGAAGCGAGGAGATTTTTGGGGAAATTATTTTTGAGATGGTTTTATCTTTAGGATCAATTGGCCATCAACTGAAAGTACATCAATACCCTTGGTTGACCATACTTTCAGACCTTGTTCTGGGGTTCGATCTCAGGGTTATCCTGGAATTTAAAGGATGCGTATTTAAATTTTTTAAAAACCTGTCTGTTGCGTTAATTTACGGAAATGCCCAAGCTG